ATCCGATCTTTGCTAAAAAGGTAAGTCTCATCAATTAAATCTGATTTAATGTAGAGGCGATTTTATCAGTTTATTGATTGAAAGCTTAGGACCGAGTTTGAATAAACCTGCTAGTTCTCTCTATCGACACAATCTTACTCGAGTCTGCTCTCCGAGCTACGAGCGATGATCAAGCTTTGATGACGTTGTCTTGTACGCTCTCTATGCGAAATTGAGGAGAAAGATCGATTCAAGTCTGATTTTCATCGTGCAAGATTAGGAAATTCGGTAAGCTACAATGATCTATTTCTTACATGCCAGAGATCCCCCTTTCTTTTGTTCATGTATCCCTCGTTCATACTTTGCAGGCACGGTCGACCCCAGTCCAAGGATCGATTTGTCTCATCGCAGCTCAAGCCAAATTATTCAATGAGCTAGTGCTAGATCTGATCTCAGCTCTTACTGCTCAACCTGATCGTAAGTCTTTCTCTTGACTATCATTGGTGATATGATACTGATTTTGGTTTAGCAAATTTGAGGTTTCTTTCTTTTCTCATTGTTTTACCTTCGAGCTAAATCATTAGGAGTAAGACAAAGCAAACTGTTATAGATTGTTGTTGTATATTTTGTTGAAGACTTAGTAAGTGGGTAATGTAGTGATGGATGTAATTTCATAGCAGAAGATACAACTTGAAGTCTTAGACTTGAATTCGATACAATGAGAATCTTTGAGAGGAAATTTATCACAGTTTCAAACATACTTGCTCGAGTTTAGGTCTTTCAAGGCAAGAGTCGATGTTTATGTTTCTTGTCGTAACAGTGCTTGAACGCAAAGAAAGCCTGTTCTAGAGGACGCGGTTTGAACTGATCAAAATACAAGAATTGGTGGTCATTTTGGTGATCTATAGAGGGCATACTTGAACTTTGTGATCTTTGCAAGGCATTTAAAAGAAGACTGATAAAGAAAAGAAACCAATCAAACTGAAACCAAAGTTTTATAAGTTTGAAAGATAGAAGACAACCTTAGAAAAGACAAGGAGGGAGCCAAATCCCTTGTTAAATGAATGGTAAACAATTTTGTTCCACTATTTCTGATATTTCATAATCCTTGGTCTCACTAACCTAGCACTCAATATATCACAGTTTATCAAGTTCAAAGGAAACATTCAAACAATCATGGTATACGTTCGATCAGACCGAAAAATAAATCAATTAGTTCCATAAGAATTCATGAACATTTACTTTTGAAAAATCAATCAACAATCATATTTGTACATTAAAATAAGCATAACGAGTATATAATAAAGCACATTAAGTAGAATACTATATTACAAATTTTGATAAGGCTGGATATGTTGAGTCGTTTTGAATTCAAGATTTTGAAGCAGGTACTCGAGTCGATCCTCCGACCAATTCAACTGTCTGGATTGCATCCGTTAGAATTCCAGCCTGAGCAAGAGTTCTTTCAAGTGGTGGAGTGGTTTTTTCGAATAAAGGAGCATGATGACGTAAATCATGATGATGTAAATGATCGATTGAACTTGAAAGGTTGGAGGAAGATAGATGATCTGAAGATGAAGATGAATCGGTAGGAAGTGGAGAGGTAGATTGAGATGAGGGATGTTCGGTGGTGAGTATGTAGAGTCTCCAGATTCAGGCAAAATTCTGTATAGTCTATGGCAAAAGAGACGATATCGAGTGAGGGGGGAGGTTGAGGAAATAAGATTGAACATTTGGAAGATTAAACTGAGCTGCTCTGAGGGTCAGCAACACCCGCTTAACCAGGCTCAACCAGGATGTGCTTTTTGATTGAGGCTTAGAGGCTCTCCTGAGCAGTTCACGTGAGCATTTGGGGCCAAAGTCTAGCCAAACTTGGGCCAAACTTGAGACAAACACTGCCCATCTAACGATCTCGACATCGAGAACGTCTCTCGTGGACGCAGTGACCCCCCCACCCAGTTCTCCCCCTTTTGGCACTATGGATCCTTTCGATCTAGATCATACGCCAATCTCTCTGATTCACAGTCCAACAAACAGTGGACGTATCAAATTCAATTCAAACTTTCATCTCCTTCTCTCCAGTCGTCAGGATAATCCAATATCACAATTCAAAAACCTCTGTTTTGATCTTATTCGATCAATTAATCACTTACGATTTAGGGCGTTCTCTCTCCAGATTCACCTCTTTCTCTCCAGATTCCAAAACAATTGGTACGATCTTATTCAATCAATTAATCACTTACGATCTAGGGCGTTCTCTCTCCAGTTGTCAGGATAACTCGATTTCACCATTCCAAAACAATTGGTACGATCTTATTCAATCAATTAATCACTTACGATCTAGGGCGTTCTCTTCCCAGATTCATATAATCATGGGTCAAACTATCGTGGGGGTTGGGGGAACCTTGGACATGACTAAAAAGGTAAGCATCTCCCACCCGTTTTCAAATCTCGACGACAATTCCGTTTAGTTGTTAATCGATATCTGATTTTCATTCCATCTCCTCCATTTATCGTATCATAGATCGTTTCCATTACTTTCTCAAACTATACTTCTATCACAAATCACCCTCCAATTCCCATTATAGACATCATGTGTAACAACCACAAGCAGCCAACCATCGAGTCTTTCTTGACCACTGGGTATGAAACCGACGATGGTCCCGCTCCTCCTCCCCGTCGGTCTTCTCGTGTAGTCACTCCGGCCAGAAGAGTTCCAGGGATGATTATTCCCTTGTCCGACTCGCGACGTGGCATGGGTGACTTGTTCTCAGTCAGGGATGTCAGAGACGCCCATGTCCACCGTCGTCGAGAGCGATCTGCCTCCTTGCCTGGCGATGAAGTGTTTCGTGAACCAGCACGTGGACGATCGAAGACTGTCTCACGTCCGGCATCTTCTGTAAGTCATCTTTTTTTACAATCTACAATTGTAATTTGTTTATTTGAATCTTACCTTTATAATTCTTCATTGTTTATCTTCTAAACGCAGGCTACTGGCACAGGATCCTTCCGTGAACGCTCCCAATCAGTATCCGATGGTGGAATGGTCTCTTCTATGGTCTCTTCTTCTACTTCAAGGATCCTTGCTTCAAAAGGCAAGAAGAGCCAAGGATCTGGTCCTGTAAGTCCAGTACCATCTACTGAAAATCTCATTCAATTTTTGATTGACAATC